CCCTCCCCCTCCCGGACAGTGTAGGAAGCCACCTTTCTTTGTACGCAGTCCACCTTTACGAAGTTGTGCCCAGAGTGAGACAAATCTGTGTCCTGTTCCTTGGCGCCACATTGCAGCAAAAGTATTGCTGCTTTTTTGCTATACAGCTCACATGCCAACTGGACCTGCTACAGAACACTGCTCGGGATGCTCCCCTCCTGCCCTGGGCTGGACCCCCAGCCTTTCCTGGTTTGGGGGATTGTCATCAAGGCTGCAGTGAACATCTGTGGGCAGATGCCTCTTCCTAGTTCATTCCTTCAAGGGACATGCATTTATTGACTTGTCCGTGTGCTGGGTACAGGTCCTGCCCTGGTGGTAACAAACATCGTGTGCTCTGAGATAACCCTGAGATGATCCGTGCGATCTGTGCTCTTACCATGGAGCCAGCAAGAGGTGCAGAAGGGGAGGGGAGGGCCGACGGTTGGTCCAGTTGGCCCCGGCGTTCGGGAAGGCCTCACTCACAGCAAATTCCGAAGACAGGCAGGAAGGGGTGGGAAGGACGGAACAGCCAGGACAAAGGCCCGAGCAGGAGACGCTTGGTTCACTCAGAACACAGCAAGGCACTGGTGTGGCCCAGCGCCGTGCAAAACAAGGGCAGAGGAGCAGGACGGGCACGAGTGTAGAGGGCCCCGCGGACCACCAGGACAGCTCGGGCTCCTAAGCAGAGGGAGGGGAGCCATCCCGGGGTTATGTGCTGAGAAAGAACACACTGAGACTTGCATTTCCAAATGCATCCCTCTGACTGCTCATGGGGAAAGACGCTGCGGGGGAGACAGGCTGGAAGCCAGCGTCCTTGCCGGAGGAGACCATCCGGCCCAGTCTGCAGGTCCTCATGGGGTCCTGCGTACCCCACCAGCTCCAAGTCAGCCCCCCCAGGGAGTCCTGAAAGACCAAGGCTGCAGAACCAATCAGAGGCCAGCCCTTCTGGGCTTCAGGCCAAGTGCTGTAGTGAGAGGCAGGGACGGACTCATGGGCAGAATCGGTCACGTGCAAATACTGCATCCGCAATACAGCCCAACCTCCGTCCTGAGCCCTTCCCAGCTTTGCACTCGCTGACCCCCAGGAGCACGATGCCAAAGCAGGGCATGTGGCCACCCCACATGCAGAGGAGGAGACCAGGGTGCAGCTAGTGTGGTTAAGCCACATCCCGAGCCCAAAGTCACAAAGCTCTAACTTGAACTGAGCCCGGTCTATCCAGGAGACCAGAGTTCAAGCCTCAGCCCCACATCTAGCAGGCTCCCAAGACTCCCAGAGCCCTGGTGGGCATCCTGGCCTTTCCTGACCACATCAGTGAATGAATGGAGGGAGGGCAGCCCTACCCAGACTCCAGGCCTGGTGCCGTTCTGCATTCCCCAACCTCCGGGCCATTGCCCATGCTGATCCCTGTGCTTGGAACACTCTTCCTCTTTTACCTGATTCATTCCGACTTATCTTTCAGGTCATCAACCCCTCCAGGAAGGCTTCCCTGCCCAGTCGAGGCCCCCTTCTCCTCTCCAAGCACGTCTGCTATGCCCACACCCAGTACTTAACATGGCCCAGCCCATGATAAGAGCTAAAACAGCTCTTTCCCTCTGGGAATGGGTCTTAGGGGAACGCCGCCTGAAGGAACCAGCTACACAAACGAAAGGTTTAGCTCAGCCATTATCTTTCACCAAAGGAGACCGTCCACAACTTTAGTGGGAACGGTTCATGGGATGGAGGTGTGCCCACCAACAAAACACGAGGTCATTGTCAGGGAAGTTGTTTCCCAGGAATTTATAGCAATGTGGGAAAACCTTTACAAAAAGTGGAAAATATGGGAAATAAATAAAACTGTCCTCTAAACGCTGCCATGTGCAGCGTGTTGATAAAGCCCCCAGAGAAGTGCAGTGAAGGAAAAGTGTCTGGGGAGGGTGGCAGCCAGGGCGGATGTGTTTCTTTCAAGGCTGTGTCCACTCACTCAGAACAAGAGGCACATTTCTGTGTCCCAAGCATGTGCTACCCACTGAATGCTGTGCCAAGGGTCTTGAGGGTAGGGACTCTCACATGGAGAAACTGAGGCTGAGTACTTAGCTAAGCCAGTCAGAGCCACCATGTTTCTCCCTCCCTGGTCCAAATACCCTGATGCTCATGCTCACTCACCCATTGTCTCCACCAAATACATAGATGGCATCTTTATAGGCCACCACTGTGTGCTTGCTGCGTCTGGAAAAAAACGAATGGATGGGAGGCAGTGAGGCCGGGACCCTCCTGGGGGAGGAATGACACTAAGCACCCAGGCTGCTGCAGAAATGAGGTAACACCTCTCAACTGCCAAGATCGAGAGAGATCCCTAAATTCCACAAGTACCCCAGGACCACCTGTATACGGGGACCCTGACATTACCCTGGCACTCTCTGGACTCTCCACCCCACTGCAGAGCACCTGGGACCCCAGCCCCAGCCCCACAAACACAACTTAACTCTAGTACCCTGCCCCAGGCCACCCCGCTCCATGACTCCCTCAGAACCCCCTCCTCTGCCCTCGACATCATCCTGGACATCACCACTTCCTCCCCACCCCCTATGACCAGATCCCACTCTTGGACACCACGCCCCGGCCTCGGCCCCTGGACCCCGCCCCGGGACCTCCTCAGACACCCCCGCTTCCCCCAAGAGCCCCTGAACTCCGCCGTACCGGGCCCCCACGAACTCGTCGCAGGGCGGGAGGCGCCGCCAACGATGCACTGTCTCGAAGGGCCCGAAGTTGAGTGTCAGGTACTCAACACTGTCCGAGCAGCTGTGGTCAAAGTCCACGCTCGGGGCTACCTTGGACCGCGCGCTGCCTGCCAGGGCCCCGGCCCCGATCGGGCCTCCCGAGCCCCCCGGCCCAGCCATCCCGTGTCCACGCCCGATCGGCCACCGGGTCCGCGGGACGTGCCGCCACCGCCCCGGGCCGCGCCGAGGGACTACATTTCCCGGCGAGCCCTGTGCCGCCGCGGCACACTTCCGGCCTGCGCCGCACTCCCCGGCAAGCTTAGCGCTCCTCGTGACTCCGCGGGCCAGCGCAACCTCTGGGAAGCGGGGAGCGTGTGACCCTCTGGGAAGCGTGTCCCACCAAGTACGCGCGCCAGATTTCCCTTCCAGTGAAGGCGGTGTCCAGTCTCCAGCCCCGTCCGGACTGCACTTCCCCGGCGCCGGCCAGGCCCACGCCGCCCAGAGACGGGCCACACTTCCCGGCATGCCCTGTTTGCCCGGGGACTCGGCCTTCACCATCCGCCGCTCTTGGGATCCCGGGTGGAGGGTTCCGGGCTTGCAGCGGCCTAGCAAGGAGCGCGACTATTCCCTTCCTGCCTGCGCCCCCACTTCTGCCCCCCGCGTCTCCCCCTCGGCATTCCTCTTGACTGGGAGGCAGAGTGGCACAGAGGCTCTAGATTCTCGTTCTTACTTAATAGCAGAGCCTCATTTTCTTTACCTGCAAAATTGGGATTCAGGGAGCTGTGGCTGCCATGAAAAGCATGGGCTGTCTCAGGACCCAGCCCCTCCAGCCGTAAGTAGGCACATGCCCCCAAACTGCCAAGCGCGAGCCGCCTCTGACCTCTGAAGAAGCACTTCCCATCTCAAACCCTTGGCACGTGCTATCCCTTCTACCTGGAGTGCCCTTCTCTCAAAATCCAGATCCAAGACACTGGTTAGAGAAGCTTTCCCTAACCCCAGGGCCAGAATCAGTTGCTACCTCCGCTGAGTGCTCATAGGCCAAACTGGTGTGGCACTGAGCATTGTGTGGTTGTGCTTTCTCCCTCAAGAGTGAGTATCTGTCCAATTACAATGGAAGTCACACAGATCTGCAAATGTGTGCGTTTTAATTTTAAGATAATGTCTAATATGTTGCAGGGTCCCGCAGGGGACCAGTCTCAAGAGAGGGAGAAGAGGATAGGCCTGTCCTGCCTCCATTGCCAGCCATCAGTGGCAGCTGAGGCCTTGGGGGGTAAGCATCTCCTGGAGGTAGCAGAAGCCTCTCTGGAGGTGAGCCAGGCAACCGAAGGCAAGCACTGGGAAGGCTCAGGTTCTGCCCTGGGGAATCCTGGGAAATTGGAGGTTGGCACCTGCCCCCAGGGCTTGGCCTCTGTCCCTGGTGCCCAAGCGTGCCTGCCCAAGTCTGCTGCATGCGAGCTCAGGATCCTTTCCCTGTGAGCCAGGACATGTCGCCGGTCCTGCAGGAATGAGGGGAGGAGGAGTCAGGGTAGAAGACAGCAGGTTACCACTCGGCACCATGAACAGGTGATCCCTGAGGACAGCAGGGGGCCTGCTCTGTGCCAGGCCCTGGTGCCCAGCAGGAATGGGTACTTAGGCAGAGAGGGGAAGTCCATGGGGTACAGGCTCTGGGCTGAGGTGGGAAAGGCTCAGAATGGTCAAAAGGAAGGACAGAGGACCACGTACTTGCTGTGCAGCACAAACAGCCTTTTCGAAGGCGAGAGAGAGAGAGAAGGCCGGGGAGAGAGTATGTCATTTATCATGTTCCCTCTTGGTTTTCTATCGTTTCCAGCCTGAGGCCTACCCCTGTACTGTGGCCTCCAAGCTTTCCCCAGTCCCTGGGCAGGGGAGGGAGCCTCTCTGTAGGCAGTTCGAGCCCACAGGGTGACTCCCATTGGCACCATCCTGGGGTGAGGGTAATGGCTGACATCCAGTGTCCCCCAAACACCAAACAACCACCCAACATCTCTGTGCAGGGTGTCCCCAGAGGCATAACTATCTGCCTCCCCGCCCCCCAGCTTCTGCCAGTCCCAACACAACCAAATCCAGTTGGGTGTCCCAGGCCAGGTGACTGCCCAAGCAGTGGCTTTGACCAAGGGCTTCGACCCCTCCCCATAGCACTGGCCCTGCCCTGGGACACAGCCTCTTCCCCTTCTTCTTTCTCCCCAAAAGCACAAATAACCAGCCCATTCGTAAACCACAACCCTTGTCCCACACCACCCCATAGTCCTGATGCCCCATAGACTGATGTGGACCAAGAATAGGGGGAGGCTCTGTAGGGCTACAGGAGTGGATGGCTACCAAGGGCCAATCCCTTGGGGGACCTCCCCCCCCCCACACCAGACCTCTGAAGCCCACACTCACTCCACCTCCCGCTTTCGGATGGCACGGCCGGAGGCTAGCACCTCAGCTACCTTGGAGACAATAGGATCGTAATTCATGCTGGCCACAGCAATCACCTCATCGCCTCTGCAGGGACAGAGTAACTGAGCCTGAGGACTGCCCAGCAGTGACCTTCCTTCTTGGAGACCCTGACGCACTCCTCTTCAGCTGGGGCCCAGAGAGGGATCTTACCCAGGGCAACAGGAATATCCTGAGCACCCAGCGCTCCTTGCTTTGCTTGGCCCAACATGGGCTTGGGGATCCTGCTAGAGGCCACGGAGGCTCCAGCCTTCCTCCTCAGCGGAGTTCAGGGCTGTGCTCCCGTCCTGGGATTACCACTCTCTACCTGTGTGACTTCCCTCGGTGTAAGAGTGGGAGTCAACAACACCCACCTCAAAGAGCTGTCCTGAAGATAAAATGTACTTCCTCAATGCGTGGCTGTTGGACTTAATACTACCCCGCCTCCTCACTGGTCCTTGGAGGGTCTCCCGCCTAGCTGCCTCCCTTGGCCACTCGGTCCACCTTTCAGGTAGGTCCCCTCCACTGGAGCAGAGCTCCTCTGGGATGAGCTCCCCTTCCCGACCGAGCTCCCGCTGCTTCGCGCCGCGTTCCACCCCGTTGCTCTCACTTGGTGTAAAAAGCCACGAACTTGAGCTCTTCCAGATCCCCCTGGATAATGACGTCGTCGAAGCCTTCTCCGTACCCTGTGGGCCGAACAGGAGGGAGAGGGGCTCCGCCAGGTCAGCGCCCTGTGCCCTCCTAAGTCCTCCCTGAACCCCCCCGCCAGACCCCGCTCCCTTTGTCCTTTTAGGTGGTCCTTAGTGCCGCCCCCAACCAGTTTCTGCTCTTCCTACGGCGGACGTGGCCACGCCCCTAGGATGCTCATAGCCCCGCCCTAACCTCCAAGCTCCACCCCTGCACTCCCTAACACCTTAGCCACACCCCTAAATGCTCTTGGCCCCGCCCCTGTCCGGCGCCCCTCCGTTACCCGCGTAGCGCAGGCTCTTGCCGAACATGGCTGTCCACAGGTAGGGCACGGTGCTAATCTCCGCTTCCTGCGCCAGCATGTTCTGGGCCGCCACCCGCCCTGTAGGACCCAGGGTGGTGAGAGCCCCGATCCTAGCCCTCACCACTCCTACGCTGCCTGCCAGAGCTCTCTGGGGACCTCTGACATGTGGGGCTACTCCCCCTCCTTCTCCTGCCCAGGGGTCAAGTAAAGCATCATTGCTCAGCCCACTGCCCACCCTCGATTGCAGTTGATCGGTGCAGAGGGACACCTGGCTCAAAGCCAGTCACTCAGATCGCTTCTCAGAGAATTTGGATGAAATGCCCCAGATCTGGATGGTCTGCTCCCTGGGGTTGTGGGGTTGTGGGTGTGCACACAACTAATCAGACACATCAGGTATGAAGAGGGGAGCAGGAGAATGGGGCCCAAGTACCCAGGGAAGCAGGGATGACAGCCACACCCAGGGCCCCAGAGAATAGCGTGGGTGGCTTCCCAGTTCATATGAGGCCCCCCTGGACCTGGTAGTTGGATGTCTGTGAGAGTCGCCTAGACCCTCCCAGTTAAACCTTAATTATACTTGGCCTTTGGTTCCTTAAAACCAGCAACAACTTTAGGCCTTGGACCTGAACAGAAATCAGTACCAGGAATGGGATTTCAGGCAGCAGATGCTCAGATAATGTGAAGCCAGGGAGGAGAGGTCAGTGAGGGGAGTCTGCTGGCTCTCCCCATGAGGCAGCCAACTTGCTGGCATGTACATCTTAGGGACCCAGAGCAGGTATGCACAGTAAGTGAGGCTTCAGGCCTTGGTGACCACCAAGTGTGTGTGTGGCGGGGGGGGGCACTCAGTTCTCCACTAAGCCCAGTTTCCAGGCCCAGGTGGCTGCCTCCCAAGGGCCAGCATGAAGCAACTGGGTTCACAGAACCAGTCGAGTGGCCCAAAGGAGACAGAAATATTGAATGGGAAGGTGGCCCATATCCTACTAAATCCCTTTCTCTCCCTGGGTGACTGCACAGGTTAGTGAGGATAAAAGGAAAGGAGAGGCGGGTGAAAGGATGGGGTGGGTGGGACACTGTGGCTAGTTGGAGGGGGTGTCCTGAGGGCACGGAGCGGGGGGATTGTCTATGGATGGGCCACAGGGCTTGCTGTGTCAGCTAGCTGGTCAGACAGGCCACCACCGAGCCTTGAAAGGCTACCCAGAGACCAGGACCCAAGGCCAACAACTGGGGGTGGGCCTGGAGGAGGCTGTCCCCAGGGTCTCAGCCTCCCAGCCCCCATCCTGCCAGGGGGCTGATCATACCCTGGGCATGAGCCATCTGCCAGTGTGGGATATTCACTTTCCGATTGTTCCTCCAGGCCAGGGGGAAAGTGACAGCATCACCAGCTGCAAACACGCCTGGGACGTTGGTCTGCATCATCTGTGGGGAGAGGCCCCGGGGCTCTGTGGGTGGGACAGGGGCCTTGGCCTGGACCTGCCACCACCTCCAGCCCAGCACCCTGCCCGCCCCGCCCAGCCCCACCTTGTTGACAGGGATGAAGCCTCGGGAATCCAGATTGATGCTGCTCTGCCTCAGGAAGCCCGTAGCGGGCACCGCACCTGACAGGACAGGGGCCACCATGTCCATTCCCTGGTCCCTCCCTTCTCCCGCTTCACTGTCCTCCATGACTCATACCCTTCCCTCACCGCAGTCCAGCCCCAGACCGATCGTCCAAAGGGCTGCCCACCCTGCGGCCTTTATGTGTCCTGTCCCCTCTGTCTGGATCCCCCGCCCCAGACTGCCGTGCCTCCCACCCGGCCTCAGCTATCACCTCCTCTGAGAGACTCCACGAAGCGCCCCGGAAGGGGGGGTCGGCATGCCAAACCTCCCCAGCTCCTATGCTGCCGCCTCCCAGCTCTGTCCCTCCCCAGACTGGCACCTCAACTGGAGCAGGGCCCAGTTAGAGGCTTGTTTCTGTCCTGCAGCCCCCATGGGGCAGGCCGTGCAGGTATCTGTGGGCAGCGGTCATTGGGAACGTCCTCCGTGCCAAGCCCTGGCTACACGTGCGACACCCACTCCCCGACAGCCCTGCGAAGTGGGAACGGTTGGGGGGGCCCATTTTGTAGATGTGGAGACCGAGGCTCAGGGAGGGGAAGGGACTGGCCCAAGGCCACTCTGGAGCATGTGCAGGTCCTCGCTGGCACCCGCCTGCCCACCCACTCACCAATGCCCACAACACAGACGTCAGCCCGCACAACCTTGCTGCTCTTCAGCACGACCTCCTTCAGCTGTGGGGAGGGGGCGTGGGTGAGCAGGTCAGCCCAGCTCCTGGGAACAGGGGAGGGAGGGGGGCAGGAAGAAGGGCCCACCTTTCCCTCCTGGGCTCGCAGCTCGGACACCTCTGTCTGCATGTAGAACTTGACCCGGTTGTTCTCAAACATCTGTCAGGGCAGGTGGGCAAGAAGGCCATGGATGAGAGCATGGCCGGGGCTGGGCTGGGTGCCTGGGGTTCCAAGGGGCTGGGTGCCGGGGTGGGCTCACCTTCATGAGGACACGCCCAACACGTTCCCCCAAAAATCTCCTGAAGGGCGTCTCCTCCAGCTCCACCACGGACACTGAGTGGGCCTTTTCGGTCAGATAGGCGGCCACCTCCATCCCTGGGGCCAGGGTGGTGGACGGCAGGCTGGCACCCTGCACCTCCCAGGGCCACTAGTACCCCGGGACCGGCCATCACAGACCATCACCCCCACCAGCCCTGGCTGCTCACCCAGGAAGCCAGCTCCCACGACCACTGCGTTGCGGCCCCGGGCCAGCCTCACCACACGATTGGCATCTTCAGGGGTCCGGATGGTGAACACATTCTCCACCTCTTTGCCTTTGCAGCTCAGCGTCTTAGGGCTGAGTCGTGGCCAGCATCAGTGAGGGGCTCCCGGCACCCCAAGCCCTCCCATCCAGGCTGGTGCCCTGCCGAGCGTCCAGCAGGGGACAACGGGGAGACAGCCTCCCACCTGCTCCCTGGTGCGAGCAGCAGCTTGCTGTACTCCAGCTTGAAGCCATCCTTGAACACGACCTTCTTGTTTCTCACGTCCACTGTGACCACCTGTAACCCCGCCGGGCAGAGTGTGGGCCTGGGCGTGGACTTGAACCAGGCTGCCCCTCCCAGCTCCTGCCAGACCCTCCAAACAGAAGGTTCCACAGGGACTGGTCCTGCCACCTGGGTGGTCCTTCCTCCTGGCTTCTCTTTACACTTCGGACACCACCTTCCCCTCAAAGCCATCTTTACGCTCTCCCGTCCCAGCCCTGAACAGATCTCTGCATGTGCCCATAAGCCTGCCGGGAAGAAGATCCAATGCTGTCTTCCAGGCCTGGAGCGCCCCAGGGGTGCCTGGACAGCAGGGCCAAAAGGGTAGGACACCCCCTGCCAAACCTCCAGGGACCCACATGGCCTCACATCACTTGTGGTTCCCACTAAGCCTTCCCAGGTTTATTTCCTAGCCTTGGCCCAGTACCTGGGCCTCGGTGAGCACCTCGATGCCATAGGCTCGGAAGAACTCCTTGGGCCTCAGGGCCAGCTGCTCAGGCTGGGCGTCCAGGGACTGCAGGAGATAGTTATCTTGAGATAAGGCCAGGCAGCCATTGTTTCATTTTGCAACAGAGGACCCGAGGCCTAGGGAGGGTAGGGCTGGGCCCCATTCACACAGGGGCTGCGGGATAGAAGTCAACAAGCCCGCATCTTTCTGGGGGTACCACAGATAGGACTGGCACGAGCAGAGAGGGCAGCCGGCCGGACCCCCAAGGGGCGACAAGCAGGATGCTGAGAGGGCCTGACTGTGCCCAGAAGGCTCGGAGTCTGGGCCCTGCCTGGGCCCCATTTGCCCCTCCTCCCACCTTGCTGAGCTTAGGTCGGTCATAGGGGAGGTGCCGGTCCAGCGTGCACAAGACGATCCTGTCTGAGAACCCCTCCTGCCGCAGGGTCTCCGCACACACTAAGCCAGCCGCACCTGAGGGGAGGGTGCTGTGGGTCAGGGACCACCTCTCCCCCACCCCACCCTGCCCCTCATAACCCCACCACCAACCTGCGCCTACAATGAGCACGTTGGTGCTGCTGCTGTGGCCAGCACTCGGAGAGATACACTTGGCCATCACCTTGGTTCTTCGCTGTAGCTGCAAGGCCTGGGGGTGGCCGGAGAGCAGAAGGCAGCTGGGAGCTGGAGTCGTGGACATCCTCCCTGTGCCATCATCCCAGCAGGCCAGGTCCTGCCGCTGCAGTCCAGCCTCAACCCCACCATGTAGCCTTTTACTCTGTTCCCCAGCCACAGGGCCTTTGCACATGCTGATCCCTGGGCCAAGATGCTCTCCTCACTTCTCCCTTTTGCTTGAGCCCCAAGCCACACCCTCACCTGCTTGCTGGCCCGGACGTACACCTTCTCCTTCTCAATCTTCACCTGCAAGGACTGTGTTGCTCAGGACCAGGTTTTGGGGTACTCCATCCCTGGCCCTGCACTCCCCGGCTCCCACCCCACTGCCCGCCTGTCCCCACCTGGAATTTGTGCAGACTGTCGAGGCCAGGGAAGTCCTCCAGGTCACCGGTGCTGATGTTGAAACAGGCACCATGCCAGGGGCAGCGCACCCGGCCACGGGACAGCACACCTGGGGGAGGGTGGTGCTGGGCTGGGGCCACCAGCAACAGTCCCTCTCTCCTGTGTCCCAGCAGTTGCTGGCTCTTCCCCACAGCCCAGGAGACCCCACTGATAGATGAGACCCTGAGGGTCCAAGGAGGTCCCAAGCACCCTTCAGGGAGGTCCCACCCCGCTTCCCGTGCGTCCTGGGACAGCTCACCTTTCACCAGGGGTGCTCCATAGTGCGGACACTTGTGGCCCAGAGCGTGGAACTCCCCGTTGTCCTTCACCAGCAACACCTTCCCCCAGCCCAGCTCCACTTCCCGCATCCTGGGGAGGGGCTGCACTCAGACCTCTGGTGGGCACCCCTTCCCAGAGTCCAGCTTTCTGGGGAGCAGGCCCAGACCGGGAGAGGCCATGATGGTGGGGGCCCCTTCCAGGCCTCCCAGCCCACCCCATCCAAGGCCTGCATCTTGCCTTCCCATCTTGGGCCCTCGGACGGCCCCCCGCCTCCCCCAGGCCCAGCACTCACTGGCCATTCTCGAGGTCCTTGACGTGGCAGACGGCGGCCTCCACACAGTCCTGAGCGCTGGGATAGGGGTGAGGGGCGGGCAGGCGCTCATCGGCATGGAAGTGGCGGGCTGTGCCGTTACCCTGGTAGGCCCGGGGGCTGCCCTTCCCGCCGGCCAGCAGCTCCTCCTTGCCCCGCTCCTTCTCAGGTAGCACCACCTCGATCTTGAGCTCCACTGTGGGCGGGCAGCGCAGCACCATGAGCCCCCAGCCGGGGCCACCCCCTTCCCTACCTCACCAGCTCTGGCGCTGGCCCTTTGAGTGAGTTCTCCTCCGTGCCTCCACCTTTCCAGAAAGCCCCCTGCACCATCAGCAGAGAGCCTTAAAACAGGCGAGAAACAGAACAGAGGCAGCAGGAGGGTGAGTTCATCTCTGCATGTTTTCTTTTTCAGTAACAAATGAGTGAGGGGGGGCACTTTGACCCTGACATTGCCTTTTCTCCAAGAATCTATGTGGAGCAAAAGAACCCTGGTGCCCTGAGCCCTGCTCGGACTGCAACAGCATGGTCCCTGATGGCAGGGACATCCATGAAGGATCAGGGTACGTGTAGAGTCTGACTCAAGTGAGAACAGGGCGTCCAAACCTGGGTGCGGCTCATTTCCCGGCCAGTGAATCTGGGTGACGGCAAACAGACAGTCTGTTCTGTTTGCAACTTTCCCGTAGGTTTGAGGTTTGTTTTTTTTTTAATTAAAAAAAAAAAATGTACACAATATATTTTCAACTTCTTAAAATAGCTATGCTCACCAATTTAAGAATCCATCATTTGCCAAGCCCTGGGTTTTAAATGTTTTCATGTGCAGGGGTCTGGGGCCTTGGCCGTGAACCCCACCTGAAGGGGTAGGTGCAGAGGGGGCGTGGGGCCCACCTCTCGAAGCCTCCACACAGAAGACACTTCCCCAGAGTGCCCATGGGCCCACTCTAGCAGGCAGTTAGCCAGAGACTGTCATTTTTGTCTTTATATTTTTCTGCATTTTCTACATTCCCTACAATATGCCTGGGGTGTTTTTCTAATTAGAAGGGAACAATAAACAGAATTTTTAGCAGCGATAATCCGGCCTCCTGGGCTGAGTGATGGACGCTAAGCCCCTGGCACAGCATGGGCCCAATGAGGAAGCAGGAGGCGCCTCTCCCAACTCCCAAGGCACCGGAGCCTCCAGGCCTCTCCCCATTTCACCTCTGATCCCCTCCACCCCAGACCTGACCCTCCAGAAACAGAGAACACGGAGTCACACCTCTGGGCCTCTGCCTATGCAGCTCCCTCAGCCTGCCATCCCTCCCAGCCCTGGCTCACTCCTGCCCATCCACCTGGACAACTCAGCTGCTGCCTCCTCCGGCTGCCCATTCCTGGCATGTGCCTCATCTCGTGCCGTGCTAATCTCCCACCCTGGCCTGGCCCGGAGCCCGGGAAGGCAGGCCCGCACCCCCTGATCCTCAAGTCCCAGCCCTTAGCCTGGCCCAGGCACAGCAGGGGGCAGGGGTGAAGGTCGGCTCCATGATTCCAACTGGGCAGGAAGGGCCCCAGAGCCCACCACCATGCTGAAGCTGTTGCGTCAGGTTGGGAGGGGGTGTTGAGGGTGGGGTAGGTTCTTTGCCTTCATTTTCCGTACTTTATGTAATGGTGTTAGAATGTTTTGAGAAGAATTCAAAAGGAAAATACTCCCAACTCAGCTGACACCAGCTATGTGAACTGTAGAGAGGAAGCTCACAGGAACAGCCTGGCAGGGGCCCAGATAACAGCCAAGCCAGACTGTTTGCATCCTCCACCTCCTTCCAGAAGGCTCCAAGGAGCTCGATGATGCAGTCTTAACAGGAAGCCATTAAGTCAGATGCAATAGTGGAAAGGTGGATGGAGAGGGGGTCTCTGCTGATCCACAGAGCCAGATCAACCCTAGCCTCATGATTCCCAGGAGCCCATGTGACCATGGGCCCCTGCCTTATCCCCTTTGGACCTCAGATGCTTTCATTATAAAACAGAAAGAGGGCGCCTGGGTGGCTCAGTTGGTTAAGCGACTGCCTTCCGCTCAGGTCATGATCCTGGAGTCCCTGGATCGAGTCCCGCATCGGGCTCCCTGCTCGGCAGGGAGCCTGCTTCTGCCTCTGACCCTCCCCCCTCTCATGTGCTCTCTCTTTCTCATTCTCTCTGTCTCAAATAAATAAATAAAATCTTTAAAAAAAAAAAAAAACCAGAAAGAACAGTGCCTACCTCTTTGGTGACAGTGAATGCCAAAGGATTTAATATATGTAACTCAGAGTAGAAGCTCAACAGATGACGCTGGGTAGTAGCATTTTATTGGTTAGCTGTGAGCCTCCTAGCAGCCATGGCAAAAAGGGAAAGCCTTTAAGTGGCACCTGTGGCCTAATCAAAGGCAAGCGACTAGATGCCAAGAGAGCTGCACTTCTTTCTAGTTCTGAGCTTGGCCAGGGTCTGGCCCAGAACACTTGTTACCACAAACACAGAGCCAATGGAACATGGGGAGTGAGCTCAGGAATGTGTGCTGATGTGCTCCAAGCCAGAGTCAAGCAAGATAGAAGGTAAAGAGTTTGCACAAAGAGCTTTGGCTTGCTCTGGTCTCCCTGTAGCCCCTCTTGACCCCAGCTGAACTTTTATGGTGCAAATGTTCTCACTCACACACCCTGAAATTCCCTGAACCTCACCCTTGACCTGCCCAGTGTGGGTGCCTGGGGCCTAAGCTCCTGCCTTCCTGTCATAGCCCTACAGGGGAGTCCTGAAAGCAGGGAGCCTACCTCCCCAAAGAGGGGATAATAACGTTCTGCGCATGCCTCCTTCCTGTGTGCCAGGCCCTGAACTAAGCACAACAAGCGCATGGGGCTGGGGCGGGGGGCAAAATTGTTAGCCCCACTTATACATGAAAACACAGAGGCTCAGAGAGGTGAAGTCAGCCGCCTGAGGCCACACAGCCAGGAAGGGGCAGGACTGGATTTGGGCTCAAGAATGCAAGTTCTTACCACTGCCTCTGGGGCGGTGAGAGCTGCCAACTCCTGACCTGAGAGCTGGGGGCCAGGGGTCTCAGGCAGGCCAGCCTGTTGAGGTCCCTTAAAGGAAGCTGCAGGTGGTATCCTCTGCTCTTGGTCTCCCCAGACCAGCTAGCATTTTCCTGCCCACTTCTGGTGGGGGGGAAGGCTGAGGTCAAGACAATGGCCATCACTTGCCCAAGTCATACGTGGAGCCAGAAAGGGTGGCGGGATCAGGCCCAGGGCTGGGTACCCACGCCATGGGCCTGGGGGGAGGGACAGCTGGCTCCAGAGGCAGGTGCGGGGCGTTCCCTCTGCCTGGCAGGACGTTAAAGGTCTCCTCTTGCCCCCAAGTTCTCCCTCAGACCCAGGAAAAGGAGAAAAGGCTCATGTGTTTCAAGGTAATGGAGCCGATGGGTATCAGGTATAAGGGGAGCTGGCCGGGGCAGGGTGGCCCGGGTGGCAGGTGGGCGGGGCACTGACTGGGCACTAGAGAGGCCTCTCTGGGCCTCCATTTCTTCATCTGTGACACGCCTCCATTCTTTTGCCTTCCTGAGGGTTGTGAAGAGAGAAGAGGGAAAATAGGGGCTGGAGAGAGAGCCCAACAGACAGAAGTCTCCATGGAGAGCAGACCCAGGCCTCCCTCAGCACCCAGGAGGCCCCCACCTCAGGCTGGAGCCGCTTGGGCCAGGCAGGGCAGGATTTCCTGCACAAATGGGGAAACTCGGCCCAAGGTCACACAGGGCATCAGAAGAGGTGAAGAGGGCTGTGATCTGTCCACTCCACCCTCATGGCAACTTCGAGAGGTCAGGCTCATTTTGTAGAGAGGGAAACTGAGGCTCAGAGAGGTAACTTGCATGCCCTGGGTCACCCAGTGGCTGAGGGTGTCCTCGGAGTCCCTCTTCCCCAGTCCTAAGGGGAAGGCCCCCCCTGCCCTATCCTGGAGCCGGAGGAACCCTAACTTCGACTTTCTGAGAAAGGCTCAGTTGCTATTCCCACCAGAAGCACCCAAAGCCCCAAATAAAGAGGGGGACCCATTGGAGGGGGGCCAAGAGAATGCTCCAGGCCCCCCACCCCCTCCTGCCTGCAGGGAATTAACATTCAGAGCAGCCTGCCGCCCAGCCTGACCTACTTCAGAGGCAGAGGGGGGAGGGGGAGGAGGAAGGTGGCTGGAGGAGGGAGGGAGGGAGGAGAGAATGAGGCAAGGAGGGGGGAGGGAGGGAGGGGGGAGAATGAGGCAAGAAGAGAGGAGGTACCTGGCTTGGGCTTGGAGAAGCACCCACCCATGGCGAGTGGCCCACAGATGAATGGGAGGCAGATACACAGATGATAGGCTGTGGGAGGCCTAGGGTGCCCCGGGAGGTGGGGCTGGACTCCCCATGGCCCTTAGAGATTCTGGAGCTGCCATCCCGGCTGGAGCTGCCACCAGGACCTGCAGGAGAGACCAGGAGCATCTGTAGGGACCAGGGCTTTGATGGGGGTTGTGGGGAAAGATACAGAGAGATAGAGACAGACTGGGTGGGCGGGGGGGGGGGGGGGCTTCTGGAAGATGCATACATTTGAGCTGGGAGCCACTGCATGTAGGGGACCCTGGGAGGCACCTCCCTTTTGAGGCCCTCCAGGCCCCCTACCCTCACTCTCCCCTCCCATTTTTACCTGTGGGCTGTGCCTACTGCCTAGGGGGCCCCCTGCTCCGGATCTCAGCCTCTCTTTTAGGTCCAGCCCCACAGCTGCCTTGTGGGGTAAATCCTGATTTCTGCAGCCCACTGGAAAGCCAGCAGCCTGGGAGCTCTGGGACCCCTCCATTCTTCAGGGAGGCCACCATGCCTGGGGTCCAAACCCAGTCCCCTCAGGCAGATCAGAGCCCTCCTGATCCTGGGGTTTCTCCTTCCTACAATGGGGGTGACATTTAGTTCTCCTGGGCCCTGGCCCCCACTCTGGCTGGCAGCCCCTGGATACCCACCTCCTCCAGGGGCAACCACTGCTTCTTCCTCCCAGCCCAGCAGTGGGTGGAGGCTTCCCAGCCCTGGAAGGCAGGGCAAAGGGGCAGGGGTCCAAGAGGCCACCCAGCCTCCACCCCTCCTCCCAGTGTGAGTGAGGCCAGGAGAGGCTGGGGGGTGGGGTGGGGTTGGGCTGGGCCAGTCCATTGGTCCCCAGGGAAACCCAGCTCCATGGTGAACGGAAGTGGGCGGCCAGCCCAGGCCTGATGAGGTTGGGGGAAAGGGAGGCCAGGCACACAGCCCATGCCCAACAGCCATGAGCTCCCACCCTGTACACAGCCCCCACTTCACAAATGCCCTCCAGGCCTGTGGTGCTGCGATCACATCCAACAGCAGATGGAGAAACTGAGAGGCCAAGGGCTTGCCAAGGTCAAGCAGCAGGAAGGGGCGTCCAGGTGACCTCCTCCCTCCCTCCCCCCTTGGTTAGTTTCAAGATGGGCAGGGACCCAGGAAGCCCCCATATCACCCTGCAAGCCACAGGGCTGGGGGAGAGGTCACCAGATCAGCGAAGAGATCCCTGCAGCCAAAGAGTCCTCAAGGCCACAGGGTGGGCCTTCTGGAAGATGCAGCTTACAGACTGGACTTTGGAAGGCCTGGGACAAAGGTGTAGCTGCCTTGTTTACAAATGACCTGCCCCCAGTCCATCCCACTGTCATCCCCCCTGTGTCCCCTGGAAGTTCTCCCTGAAGTCTAACTTGAGGTGGGGCTGAGGCCTACTTGGTCTTGCCCAGATCCCAGCAAGGGCTTTGAGTGGGTGCCTGAGCGCAAGCGGGCCAAGAAGACAGGAGGAAAAGTTGGGGAGGACCATCTACCGCCTGGCATCTGATCTTACCTGCGCTAGAGGCACCCATTACAGTTCAGGAGACAGTGACAGCCAAAGGCCACCTGGGCATCCCGATACTCTTTCCTCCACTCATCACCAAGGCGGATCTGTAAGACTTGGCCACCCCTGCCCTGCCTGGCCCCTCCCTGGGCACAAGGGGGCCCTCCCCAGATCCCGGCTTCTCCTCGGGCTCAGCCCTGCCCACCTCCTTCCTGCCTGGCCTCAGGCTTCACCTGCTGGGCCACAGATGTCTGAAAATGTGGGACCCCCACTTGCTGTCAGGTCCCTGTCTGGGCGGTTTCTCCCTTCCCAGGTGCCCAGGGGTCCTAGACCCTCCAGGGCCTTGGGCCTGGAAAGAGATTTGCTGGGGACTGAACCTTCTCCAGGCCTACTGTGTGCAGGCGGGCTTGGAGCCCTGCCGCCTCAAAGGCAAAGGTTCTTGCCTGTGGAGCAGCTGGAGGCGCCCCCAAGATTTTGTGGAGTGCTGTCTCTTGCCCACAAGCGACACAGTGCTGAAAAGTTGTAACCATGCCCAAGCGCTAACTACCCACCAGGAGCCTGTGTCCTGACTCACGGGGACACCGTCCCCCCAGGCCAGTGCAGGCTGGGCAGAAACGGGGGGGGGGTGCTGTCCAGTTGGGGCCCTCAGAGGCTTCCAGCCTTCCTCGGAATGGCAATCAAGTTTGAGGGGTGTCCGCCCTCACCGGCTCCCCGGCGGGGCTCAGGCGCAAGCCTCTCCTGTCTTTGCACGTGCAGTCCCCTCTATCCGGGAAGACCTTTCCAGCAGCCTTCCCGCTCGTCCAGGTGTCCTCACCAAACCGGGCGGCCCCGGAAGGGGGACGGGCACACAGTAGGGCGCCAGGGCGAGCGGGGAAGGGCCCGGGCCGAGGAGGGGAGAAGGAAGAGAGGCGCTTCGGCCCCCAGCTTGTCTCTCTCCCTCTCCGGCTGCCTACCCCAGCTCCCATCGCGCCGGCCCCGGGTCCGAGACTTGCGAGCGCGCCCGCTGGCCCGGGGCACGGAGGCAGCGGGGCCGGG